TCAGTGATTTTACAAAAGAGAAAGTTGATGCGTGTTGCCTGAAGTTGTTGCATTGTTCTTGCAGCTTCACACACACTGAGGCACTGGATTCGTTACAAACTCATACCCAGGTGTTGCTTTTCTTTGTTTCCACAGCTTGTGCTATTCATCTTCAGTAAACCTTTTACTTTAAAGGAGGTTTCAAATCACAGTCTCTTCTGTGCTGCCATTACTTTCTTAAGATTTACTTCTATACAGTTTTAGGCTTTGCTTGGCCTATTTCATGTTTCATAGGTACCCTCAGCCCAGCTCGTTCAGATTAGCACATCTTATTTAGCATGGTCCAGTATTCCACACTCAAATGTGAATAACCAGCAATTAATCTGTGATTGAAGACACTTTTGCTGAGGCCAGAATGAACTGTTATGAGTTTTGTGTACTCCCAGCTTACTTTTAGTACTTTCTGGGGAGTCGTCTATTTGTGTTTATAAAATAGAGGTCAGTGGTACTAAGAATCAAGACTCTGTATATCCGAGGAGGTGGTGCGTACATGTACTGTATCAGTGTAATCAACCACAGGCAGATACCTGTCTGCACAGGGAGAAATAACACAAGCAGATAATTACCTGTTTCCTGTGTTTGTTTATAGCGAGTAAAACAGTTTAAAGCAGCTCTGTTCAACACTTTACCAGATGTAAAATGTTTACAATTTAAAACTGCATCTTTATTCTATATCTATATATCTTTAAGCCCAACTCATAATGGACTATCTTACTTTGGAACATGAATTCGAGAGAAAGAGAACACTATGGGGTTAAAGGGGTTAGGGTGCTCACTGACCTCACAGTCCATTTACTGTTATTCTGAAGTTGTGTGAGAAGTGCAGGTTGTACAGAAGGCAGGTGAAAACAAAGCCACTGTCAGTGTGACGTTATTAATCTTTAACACCATCACAGCAGAAGACATCCACAGAGTCATGTGAGAAACTGCACTTTACACTTTGCTGGAGGAAACTGTAGCAGCAGCAGCACGAGCATCAGAGCCACGAGATCGGACTTAAAGGGATAACACGACCACATTAGGAAGGAACCGCATCAGGTAAATATGAAACACGTGGGCTCTACTTTAGCTGCTTTATTATTTAAACTGTACTCATAGATTCACTCTTTTTGGTTTGAGTTAGTTTGCTGTGAACCAACTCACTCAACAGTTCACCTCATAAAATAATTTAAAAAGGCTGAGAGCAGAACTGAGGTATTTTCTAAAATACTGTCTCACTGTGGACGGTTTGTCATCTGATTTATTCGCACTGACTTGTTTCTCCTAAAGCTGTAGGGGTCCTGTGATGTGTTCAGGTGCTCTTTTATTGTGACTAAAAAACCTGAATCATCACTTTAAACAGCTGACTTTGAAACTTTGAATAGAAATGACAGTAAAGTCCTTTACAAGCACTCCTGTTACACCTTTAACAGAACAGAGTGTTTTTGCATAACTCACAATTTGATTTACTCCTGATGCATCTTATATGGTGCAGCCAAGATGCTTGTTGTAATTAAATTTACAGCTCACTCAAGTATTTTACTCGCCAGAGCAGGAATTTCATGGAAGTAATGGGGCTGCTTCTTTTTTTGGATCTTGCCACAGAAACTTTGCACGATACATGATTCACAGTAGTCTTTATTTTATCCTGGCTGTTTTCTGTAACAAGCTGTTTTAGCTTTTCGCCCTTGTTTGCATTTACCCTCTAAACTAAAAG